TTCAGGCTGTTGTGATCCCTCCCCACTGACTTTATTCATCCAACCAGCAGCTTCCTGTACTCACTTGAATCTCTTGGGATGAGACAAACATCTCAGTTGGTATGTACAGAGTCTAGACAACGTTCTTGGACTAAACAGACTAACTTTCATATAGCTACACATAGGTGGGACGAATCCCAGAATTCAGAAACTGCTTACCGATATTACTTTGCAAATTAAGAAGGGCTTCATAGTTTGGTCTTTCATATTTTTAGCTTACATTTCAGTTCTCACCCAACAGAGATGATAGCTTGACAACTTAAAGTTATTTTATGCATATTCAGATTGTATTAACTATTTTTAGCCGTCTTTTTTAACTGAAGTGTGTGAGTAAGCACATTTTGCCAAACTGCAAAGTTCAGCAATATGTTTAAAGGCAGAAGCTCCTTTGAGGTTTAATGCAGTCTTTCCAAGTAGCATGATTTCAATCCAAACTCCAAAATATTGCAATTTCACTTTGTGTTCTCGAGGCAGCAAAAAGAAAAAAAAAAAAATTACTTTGGTTGACAAGCCTCCTCTATTATTAATGTGATGTAAAATTTCTTCCTGATCATTATGTTCTGTGCATCCTGAGCAATGACATTCCACCCTTTAGCCAGAAGTGAGTACATGGCTTTGAATGGAAGTAGCTTAGAGGCTTCCATTGTTTCAAGTTCTCTGGGAATGACAGCACTGCAAGCTATGTAATGACTGAAGTGTTCAGGCAAGGATAGAACAGGCCTTGTTGTTCTTCAGAAATGGATTACAAAGTCTGAGCTAGATCCTGAAGATGAATTTCTGAGTTCAAATGCTGCAATACCCAGAATATACTGCTCCTCTTCCCTGCTGCAAAATTAATGTCAGGAACATGCTTGTTGAGGAACAGCATATGGATGCTGACAGAGGGAGGAGAGTGAGGTTATACTGAAGTGATGAGGAAGGCAAACCAGCATATACATTGACTGAAGCTAATGAAACCACATCCTTGTCTAGGGAGGTTTTAGTAAGGAACAATGGGAGGAATAGCTTGTGGCCTTAACAGACAGTGGCAATATGGGAACCACAAATGCCTTGGAATCCTATACTGTGGAAGTTTTCTATAGGAATTACAGAATCACAGAATCGTCTAGGTTGGAAAAGACCTTGAAGATCATCTAGTCCATCACTTAACCTCACACTGACAGTTCCCAACTCCACCATATCCCTCAGTGCTGTGTCGACCCGACTGTTAAACCCCTCCAGGGATGGGGACTCCACCACCTCCCTGGGCAGCCCATTCCAACCCAATGCAATTTACATGGGAAATCTTCAAGTAAATGCAGAGAAAACTTGACCAACTCTAAACTAGATTTTTTTTAAGAAGAATTTGGACAGATTAAAACATGAAAACAAACATCAAATTTTATCTTGAGGTTCTCCGGCAATCTAATCCATAAAATTAATAGGAGTCTTTCAAGAATGGTTCTGCAGTTCAATCAGCCCTGGGATGATCTTTTAATTATAACTGAACCATCTTCCTTGAAAATATTAAACAAAGTAATGTTTTTCTTCTGTAGAACTATAAATACTGTTAAAATATTGCAAGATCATGTTTTCATATCTCATATTTTACTGAGAAATTTTGTAAAAAATGAGGTAGTTTCAATTATACACCTCTAATACTATTTTTATACCACATACTTTTTTAAGGTACTATTTCAAAGTAACTCCTTACTGATTATCTTATTAATTATACATTTATATATGACATAAATAGTTTCAGCTAGTAGAAAGAATGCTATTTTACAATATATGTAACTCAAGCATGTTAATCAATATTGTATTTCTTCCACCACATATATGAACAGAATTTTAAATTATATGTTTTGTGGTTTTATCTAAAGTTTTGGCAATAGTAAATCATATAATATCAAAAATATATAATTTATGCAAGAATACAACACAAAGACAATTAGAAACACCCTAGATTTATTTTGCATAGCATAATTTTGCCTCTCTAGGCAGTGATTACAACTTAGTAGCTTCATTAGCTTCAGTCATAAGAGTTCATTATGATTTTTTAGATTACTATTTTAAAAATAAATTTTCCTTAAGCAGAAGTACTTTTTGTTACTCTCTCACATTTCTGGGTTCTTAAACATTTTACTTTTCCTTATTTATACTAATTTTTACCTCCAAAAATATCTTCACTGACACAATTCACTGCTTTCCTGATCAGTGGCATAACCTATGATCACCCATAAACAGCGTCAGTGGACCTATAAACAAAGTCAGAGGTAATGGCCACATGTAACTTCATCGGGAACCCTGTGGTTCATCGTGTAGCTGACATTTGTCAGCTTACTCCACAGAAATCAAATGCTGCATAAGGTGAACATACCCTGAGTACTGCTACGCTCTGGATGTTCCTGGTGGTGGACACTCAGGCAACTAATATCGTGCTACAGCAGCACTGCGATGGCTCAGATTTTCTCCAGGCTCTGGCCTTATGTCTGTATACCTCTTGCCTATATTAACCTGCTAAAATGTCATAATTCCAGCTTGCCTCAGTCATCTTCTATTCTTGCAGACAGAGCAACTGGGGAGAAGCTAAGGCAGCTTGCAGGACTGGGACTGTAGGACTGCGTCTTTGCTCGCTGGCCTTCAAAGGGAGGTAGCACTACTGAAATTACTAATGATATTTTCTGTTCCCAACAAGTATTATCATGTTTTGAATAGAAATTGCATTCTAGTGGTATTTAGCATGAGAAATTAAAGAATCTGAATATGTCTTAAAACATCAACACAAAGAAGGTTTCATTTGCTATGATGATACACCTATGATCAGCATTATAACACTTCATGGCTGCCAATTCCTTTACATACAAGTAAAAGTGCATCTTTTCAAGGAAAAGTGGGCAGAAAATTCTTCATTTCATGTTACTGTCTGCAAAAATTCTGCTTTAGAAAACCCTTCATCTTCATGGATATTCCTTTATGGCATTATTCTTTAATTATCTCAGACATAAACATCAGAGAAAGGACTAATTAATTAGAAAATCTTTTGCACTAGAAAGCTGATGTCTATAAAAACTAATATTTGTTCTTTAGAGGGTATGGGATCTGATGAAACAAAGTAATTTGAATTAGCTGCAGATAGTTCACATTAGTGGATAATTAATTTCCTTCATATTTTGTCCTAGATTTCATTAGACAACAGTTGTAAACATTTCTGTGTTAGTGAAAGGATGTCAGAATTTGGGTTAGATTATGACTTCTCAGAAACAAAAAATAAAATATGCAACAGCAAGCATTATCATAAAGGAAAACCAGAAAGAAGAAACTTATTGAGAATTCAATGCATTGTTTTGTAGTGGTTTTAATGATTTCTATTAGAAATTAAGGGAATATGACATTATCTTTGAAGATACTCTAAGACCTATGGGACTTCCAAATAGCAGAGGCAATATTCTGTTGTTTTAAAATGATAGCTACAATAATGAAATAACAGATGTAATATCCTTAAAACACAGGACAGCACACTGTATCTTCTTTATTTATTCGTCTATACTTTCAGTGTTTCATGTAACAAGTTATAAGACCAAAACATTTCTGTACTCAAGGGTTTTTTTACATTTGCTTATTTATGTGCAGACAATAAGAATTTTTTCTCTAATAAAAATTACATTCTATTACACAGAATATATGTATTAAACATATTTAATTATTATGTTGAAGACACACTATGAGAGATAAATTCTGATTATGACAAAAACTTAAAATGGGGTTGTAAGGACACAATTGGTGGGAAAAGTGGGATTAGCACGTGAGCATGTGTCCTATTTGAGCATCAGTTAATGGGAGTTTCAGTGAGTGAGAGTTGGATGTAGCAATACTGGTAATTCAGATTTAATTCCAAAATGTCTGGCCGATGACAAGCCTACCAGCAGTGTCTGCTCTCATTTCACTTCTATCCTCAGACACAAACCTAATGCATAACTTAGATAGATGAAACTTACACTGTGCAAGTCTGTTTAATCATCTCCCATGGAGATAAGCGTAAAGGGTGAAGGAGTAGTCATATTGTTGCTTACACCAACGAGGAAGTGGAACATGACGTGGTAAAACATATACCAACCAATCATCATATAAAACTAAGCATTGTAAAATTTTCTTAGGAAAAACGCAAACAATTTGCTTCACTTGAGTCTGGGTAAAGAAGTTAAGGTCACTGGGGTATACTTAAGAGTATATTCAAAGTTTTATTGTGTTAAGGCCTCCAGATCATTTTTCTGGATGCCTTGTGCCTCCATATGCTCAAGAATTTGTTTTCAGAGATTACCTTTTCACACACTAGCCATACAAACAAACACAAATACTAGTGGTTTTAAGTGCCCCTTAAGCTTAAGTACTCTACTAAGTACAGTATTTACTAGATTCAATTTCAGATCTGGAATTCTGTTCCTTGCTGGTTTTGAAAGCGACTGTATTCAGAAGTCTCAGACATCTGCTATATATGAAATCCCCAAAAGCTGTAAAACAGATTTTACTTAAAAGCAGCTCGTTCATTACACATTGCATTAGAAAGGGAGACTTTTTCTGCCTAAAAATCAGAAAGACTAGTTATCCAGAGAAAGACAAGCAAGAAGATTGATCTTATGAACCTGAAGGAAAGGGCAAGTTCTGCAGATTACTGCAGGTATATGAAAATAATTTTATAAGAACTGTAATGTATTCTTGAAGAATAATTATGCAGACATTGGAATAGCTAGTGTAGCTTTCTGTGCCTACACAACATCTGTCTCATGCACTGAAATAACCATATTGAGAACAACATAATGCATCTGCCTTCAGAAATAAAAATCCAACCCAAACTATTTATAATAATCTCTCCTTTATCTAATCAAACTCAAATAAAAATGTGATTTCAACTTAATTGACCTGCATTTTACTGTGGTTTCGCTACAAATGTGAATTATATTTTAATGAAATAAACCACTTACCAGCTTTTAACAATGACACTTCAGGTTTTTCAGCACCCTATTAAAAAAAAAAAAAACAAAACATAACAAACAAACAAACAAAAAAAGAGAAAAAAATCCCAAAAGGTAATCAGTGCAATTTAATGAAATCCAGGGTCAGATTTACACAGCTTTCACTAAATCAGCTTTAAGCCATAGGAAAAAGACAGGTGAGCTAAAAGAGAAGGCTAAATCAGAAATGCAGCCCCTGCCTAGTTTGAAAGGAGACACTGGGAGAAACTGAGCTGCAAAACTGCACAATTGTACTGAATCATTTTGTGCTGGTCTGGGGGAGACTGGCCTGATTGAGTGCTCTTGCTGAATCTCTCACTCAGTGAAAGACTTTTTGTCACATAATGTTTTGGAACTTGCACCAATCTCCCCAAACATCAGGCAGTCTGTCTACAAAAAGGAGAAAGTTCTCAGATTTTTCTGCTTATTTTAATTATGCTTCTGTGATTTAAACCTGATATAAACTTGGTTGCCTTTTTTGTTGTGCAGAACCTTAAGAAGGTCAGTACAAATTCTTTTTTTTGAAAGTTCAAGTTCTTCAGAATGAAATGAATACTTTTATTTAAATATCTTGCTAATATTTAAGGAAAATAAATTTGCTGTCTTTTGGGGGAGGGGATAGAAAGTAGTGTGTTTTCAACTCTGCAGTTCATACTTCAATCCTTTCTGTAGATTATAGTTTCTAAATAAATTACTTCAAAAAATTGAGAACAGCTCTGATAGATTTAAAGCATAAGCCTCTATCAGATGCGGATCCACAACTACTCTACATATATATATATATATATATATATATATATATATATATAAATATATATATATATG